CAGGCAGCACAGGCAGCACGGGCAGCACAGGCAGCATGGGCAGCATGGGCAGCACAGGCAGCACGGGCAGCATGGGCAGCACGGGCAGCACGGGCAGCACAGGCAGAATGCACAGCAGCAGGGTGGAATGGGATCTGCAAATGCACGGGCTGGTTGGGGGGACAGCAAAGGTCACGGTTGGGCTGTGTGGCTGTGTGCGCGCATGCGTGCATGGGTGTGAGCATGTGTGAGTGTGGGTGTGCTTTTACATGCGTGTGTGTGTGCGTTTGTGAGTCACTATGCTACCATGTACACTTTTGGGAGGAAGCGTATAGCATTTATGCGCTAGCGTACGCATACGTTAAACGCACGTATCTATACTATACGCTCGGGCAGAAATTCGGGGCAGCCCGCCAAAGACACGGCGATTTCAGCAACACATTCGCCGTGTCGCGAAACCCAACCAACCATTGGCCTAGCTTATACTATACAGCAGGGCTTATGCTAGAAGGGTAGCTACCTTGAATGTCAAGATATTCAGAGTTGTTCGCATACTTAGCCGTGCATTTCGACTAGCTCTGTGGGTCATGTTCGCCAAAAGCATCACAGGAGAAGACAGACACGTCCTCAGGCAGGGTAAGCCCTGGTAGACAGACCCCGAGCCCAAGCGAATAGCGTATATGCGTCAGTGTATCACGATAGCATAGCATCACCATACGTGTACATGGCAGTGAGGGTGCATGCGTGCATGCGTTTATGTGGGTGTGTGGGTGTGGGTGTGTGCGTGCATGCGTTTATGTGGGTGTGTGGGTGTGGGTGTGTGCGTGCATGCGTTTATGTGGGTGTGTGGGTGTGGGTGTGTGCGTGCATGCGTTTATGTGGGTGTGTGGGTGTGGGTGTGTGCGTGCATGCGTTTATGTGGGTGTGTGGGTGTGGGTGTGTGCGTGCATGCGTTTATGTGGGTGTGTGGGTGTGGGTGTGTGCGTGCATGCGTTTATGTGGGTGTGTGGGTGTGGGTGTGTGCGTGCATGCGTGTGTGCATGTGGGTGCATGTATGCATGCGTGTGTGCGTGTGTGTGTATGTGTGCGTGCGTGCACGCATGTGTGTGTGTGTGTGTGTGTTGTGTGTGTGTGTGAAAGCGTGTGTCTGTGTGCGTGCGAGGGAGGTGGGGGCGAGACCGCCTCACCTTGATGACGATGTCAACAAATCCATCATCCAAGTCGAGCACCGTTGGGGTGTAAGCTCGGATGAACTCCTTCCCTTTCTATACTTGTGTGCGCGAAACCATCTCACTGTAACCATCTCACTGTAACCATCTCACTGTACCATCTCACTGTACCATCTCACTGTACCATCTCACTGTAACCATCTCACTGTACCATCTCACTGTACCATCTCACTGTACCATCTCACTGTACCATCTCACTGTACCATCTCACTGTACCATCTCACTGTACCATCTCACTCTACCATCTCACTCTACCATCTCACTCTACCATCTCACTCTACCATCTCACTCTACCATCTCACTGTAACACTCTCACTGTACCATCTCACTGTAACAATCTCACTGTACCATCTCACTGTAACAATCTCACTGTAACAATCTCACTGTACCATCTCACTGTAACAATCTCACTGTACCATCTCACTGTAACATCTCACTGTACCATCTCACTGTACCATCTCACTCTACCATCTCACTCTACCATCTCACTGTAAAAATCTCACTGTACCATCTCACTGTAACAATCTCACTGTACCATCTCACTGTAACAATCTCACTGTACCATCTCACTGTACCATCTCACTGTACCATCTCACTGTAACAATCTCACTGTACCATCTCACTGTACCATCTCACTGTACCATCTCACTGTACCATCTCACTGTACCATCTCACTGTACCATCTCACTGTACCATCTCACTGTAACCATCTCACTGTACCATCTCACTGTAACAATCTCACTCTACCAATCTCACTGTACCATCTCCCTGTAACAATCTCACTGTACCATCTCACTGTAACAATCTCACTGTACCATCTCACTGTAACATCTCACTCACTGTACCATCTCACTGTACCATCTCACTCTATCATCTCACTGTAAAAATCTCACTGTACCATCTCACTGTAACAATCTCACTGTACCATCTCACTGTAACAATCTCACTGTACCATCTCACTGTACCATCTCACTGTACCATCTCACTGGAACCATCTCACTGTACCATCTCACTGTAACCATCTCACTGTACCATCTCACTGTACCATCTCACTGTAACAATCTCACTGTACCATCTCACTGTACCATCTCACTGTACCATCTCACTGTACCATCTCACTGTACCATCTCACTGTACCATCTCACTGTACCATCTCACTGTAACAATCTCACTCTACCAATCTCACTGTACCATCTCCCTGTAACAATCTCACTGTACCATCTCACTGTAACAATCTCACTGTACCATCTCACTGTAACAATCTCACTGTACCATCTCACTGTAACATCTCACTCACTGTACCATCTCACTGTACCATCTCACTCTATCATCTCACTGTAAAAATCTCACTGTACCATCTCACTGTAACAATCTCACTGTACCATCTCACTGTAACAATCTCACTGTACCATCTCACTGTACCATCTCACTGGAACCATCTCACTGTACCATCTCACTCTAACCATCTCACTGTACCATCTCACTGTACCATCTCACTGTAACAATCTCACTGTACCATCTCACTGTACCATCTCACTGTACCATCTCACTGTACCATCTCACTGTAACCATCTCACTGTACCATCTCACTGTAACAATCTCACTCTACCAATCTCACTGTACCATCTCCCTGTAACAATCTCACTGTACCATCTCACTGTAACAATCTCACTCTACCAATCTCACTGTACCATCTCACTGTAACCATCTCACTGTACCATCTCACTGTAACAATCTCACTGTACCATCTCACTGTAACAATCTCACTGTACCATCTCACTGTACCATCTCACTGTAACCATCTCACTGTAACCATCTCACTGTACCATCTCACTGTAATAATCTCACTGTACCATCTCACTGTACCATCTCACTGTACCATCTCACTGTAGCAATCTCACTGTACCATCTCACTGTACCATCTCACTGTAACCATCTCACTGTACCATCTCACTGTAACCATCTCACTGTACCATCTCACTGTAACAATCTCACTGTACCATCTCACTGTAACAATCTCACTGTACCATCTCACTGTAACAATCTCACTCTACCAATCTCACTGTACCATCTCACTGTAACCATCTCACTGTACCATCTCACTGTAACAATCTCACTGTACCATCTCACTGTAACAATCTCACTGTACCATCTCACTGTACCATCTCACTGTAACCATCTCACTGTAACCATCTCACTGTACCATCTCACTGTAATAATCTCACTGTACCATCTCACTGTAGCAATCTCACTGTACCATCTCACTGTAACCATCTCACTGTACCATCTCACTGTAACAATCTCACTGTACCATCTCACTGTAACAATCTCACTGTACCATCTCACTGTAACAATCTCACTGTACCATCTCACTGTAACAATCTCACTCTACCAATCTCACTGTACCATCTCACTGTAACCATCTCACTATACCATCTCACTGTAACAATCTCACTGTACCATCTCACTGTAACAATCTCACTGTACCATCTCACTGTACCATCTCACTGTAACCATCTCACTGTAACCATCTCACTGTACCATCTCACTGTAATAATCTCACTGTACCATCTCACTGTACCATCTCACTGTAGCAATCTCACTGTACCATCTCACTGTAACCATCTCACTGTACCATCTCACTGTAACCATCTCACTGTACCATCTCACTGTAACAATCTCACTGTACCATCTCACTGTAACAATCTCACTGTACCATCTCACTGTACCATCTCACTGTAACCATCTCACTGTAACCATCTCACTGTAACAATCTCACGGTAATAATCTCACTGTACCATCTCACTGTACCATCTCACTGTAGCAATCTCACTGTACCATCTCACTGTTACAATCTCACTGTACCATCTCACTGTAACAATCTCACTGTACCATCTCACTGTACCATCTCACTGTAACCATCTCACTGTACCATCTCACTGTAGCAATCTCACTGTACCATCTCACTGTAACCATCTCACTGTAACCATCTCACTGTACCATCTCACTGTAATAATCTCACTGTACCATCTCACTGTAGCAATCTCACTGTACCATCTCACTGTAGCAATCTCACTGTACCATCTCACTGTAACAATCTCACTGTACCATCTCACTGTAACAATCTCACTGTACCATCTCACTGTAACAATCTCACTGTACCATCTCACTGTACCATCTCACTGTACCATCTCACTGTACCATCTCACTGGAACCATCTCACTGTAACCATCTCACTGTAACCATCTCACTGTACCATCTCACTGTAATAATCTCACTGTACCATCTCACTGTAGCAATCTCACTGTACCATCTCACTGTAGCAATCTCACTGTACCATCTCACTGTAACAATCTCACTGTACCATCTCACTGTAACAATCTCACTGTACCATCTCACTGTACCATCTCACTGTAACCATCTCACTGTACCATCTCACTGTAGCAATCTCACTGTACCATCTCACTGTAACAATCTCACTGTACCATCTCACTGTACCAATCTCACTGTACCATCTCCCTGTAACAATCTCACTGTACCATCTCACTGTAACAATCTCACTGTACCATCTCACTGTAACCATCTCACTGTACCATCTCACTGTACCATCTCACTGTACCAATCTCACTGTACCATTCTCACTGTAGCAATCTCACTGTACCATCTCACTGTAGCAATCTCACTGTACCATCTCACTGTAACAATCTCACTGTACCATGTCACTGTAACAATGTCACTGTACCATCTCACTGTAACAATCTCACTGTAACCACCTCACCTTAACCGCCTCACCTTAATGACAATGTCGACGGAGCCGACATCGGAGTCAAGCGTTGTTGGGGTGTACTTCCTCGTGAACTCCACCCCGCTCTCGTCCCTCCCCCTGGCAGGGCGGACACACAGCAGGGGAATAGGTAGGGAATATGTGGTAGGGAATATGTGGTAGGGAATATGTGGTAGTGGGTTAGAGCGGAAAAACAGCACCAGGAGATGCGAGAGCCATCCTGTAGCCACTTCCTGGAGAAATTTGAAAAACAAACGGCCGCATGAGGTGAGGAAAAAGGCATCATCTCGGCATTGCTTGAGAAAGCGATACAACAGTACTACCGCTTTAAAATAAGTACTGCAGAATGACGTGCTGCCCGATGGGGAGTCCGGGGACTGTGTCTGGCGACTGCAGAGAATGAAGGACTATTCAGCGTCAACGTAGGACGTTGGTGATCTTACTGCAGAATGACGTGCTGCCCGATGGGGAGACCGGCCGGGGACTGTGTCTGGCGACTGGAGCCCCAGAACGAGTTGGCCTATGGGCAGTCCGAGAACAGGGTCCGGTGGGGCTAAGAAAGAGACATAAGGCGTTGACTTTCTTACTGCAGGGTGACGTGTTGGCAGATGGGGAGGCCCAGGACAGAGTCCAGGACAGAGGAAGGGAGACATAAGGAATTGACGTGCTTACTGCAGAGTTGCCCTCTGGGTAGTCCGAGAACAGGGTCCGGTGGGTAGTCCGACCAATGCTTGCTGCAGGGTTGCCCTATGGGCAGTCCGAGAACAGTTCCGAGAGCAGTGCCCGGGACTAAGAGAGACGTAAGGCGTTCACGTGCTGCCCGATCAGCAGCCCCAGAACAGGGTATGGCGACTGCAGCTAGAACAGGGCATGGCGACTGCAGCTAGAACAGGGCATGGCGACTGCAGCTAGAAGGGTGTCGGGGAGCTAAGAGGGACGTGAGGGGTTGACTTTCTTACTGAAGGATGACGTGCTGCCCGATGGGGAGGCCAGGACTGTGTCTGGCGACTGCAGGGAGAAGCGGAATTTGACGACGTTGTGGGTGATGCTGGTGCGCTCGACCAGCTGGAATTCACGCCATTCCTCGAGATGCAGAGCCACTGATGGGGGAGAGAGAGAGAGAGAGAGAGAGAGAGAGAGAGAGAGAGAGAGAGAGAGAGAGAGAAGAGAGAGAGAGAGAGAGAGAGAGAGAGGGCATAAGGCCGACCTCGCCATGCGCGACAGAGACTCCGGTGCCGTCTGGATCTGTGACGTCACTGTCACGGACCCCATCAGCACCCGGGACCCGCACGCACGCAAGGGGCGGGGATATATGGCCCGGGAACAGGCCGATAAGAAGATTGATCACTACCGTAACCGCGCACCTTATGTTGGCTTCTTCCCCTTGGCCGTGGAGACCTATGGCTGCCCCTGCGCGAGGTCCCCAGCTTTCTGAAGCTCCTGGCGGACACAGGGGCAAGGCGGCTTTTCAACGCGGACCCGAGCTCCTACCAGGCGGCGAAGCTGCTGCATCAGTTCCGCCAGCGCTGGTCCATCACGCTCCAGCGGGCACAGGCCCTGGCCTACCTCGGAAAAGTCAACGAGGCTGCCCGGCAGAGTACCCCCCCGTGGGTACCCCTGACGCCATCATGGGCCTAGGGGACTGTTTTGCCATAGCGGAGCCCCTCGGGGAGCTCCAGTAGTCCGGCTGCCCATCCCCAGCATGCACGTACCTTCGATATGGTTTGAAGTCTGCCCACTTGTTTAGTATGTACAACGTTCTCAATCAATACATGGACCGCTTGAGAGAGAGAGAGAGAGAGGGGAGCAGGAGAAGAAGGCTGAAAGGACAGATGACCCTGTGAGTCAGCTTCTATATTTGAGTCTGTGACCCTGTGAGTCTGTGACCCTGTGAGCCTGTGACCCTGTGACCCTGTGAGCCTGTGAGCCTGTGAGCCTGTGCCCCTGTGAGCCTGTGACCCTGTGAGTCTGTGACCCTGTGAGCCTGTGACCCTGTGAGTCTGTGACCCTGTGAGACTGTGACCCTGTGAGTCTGTGACCCTGTGGAGTCTGTGACCCTGTGAGCCTGTGACCCTGTGAGTCTGTGACCCTGTGAGCCTGTGACCCTGTGAGTCTGTGACCCTGTGAGTCTGACCCTGTGAGCCTGTGACCCTGTGAGTATGTGACCCTGTGAGACTGTGACCCTGTGAGTCTGTGACCCTGTGAGTCTGTGACCCTGTGAGCCTGTGACCCTGTGAGTCTGTGACCCTGTGAGTCTGTGACCCTGTGAGTCTGTGACCCTGTGAGTCTGTGACCCTGTGATTCTGTGACCCTGTGAGTCTGTGACCCTGTGAGTCTGTGACCCTGTGAGTCTGTGACCCTGTGAGTCTGTGACCCTGTGAGTCTGTGACCCTGTGAGTCTGTGACCCTGTGAGTCTGTGACCCTGTGAGTCTGTGACCCTGTGAGTCTGTGACCCTGTGAGACTGTGACCCTATGCAGAGGCACTGAAAGGAGCGACTCGCCTCAAACCCCAGCTCCCTCCCTTCCGAGGGAGAAGGGAGGATGAAGGAAGGGTGAAGGGAGCAGGTGGAAGAGCAATGAGCGGACAAATGGAAGAATGTCCGACCATCTGCTAACACATGCCTTCTGAGTCGGCGTCACGTGCTGGTTGGCTTTTGAGTCGACTCAAAAGTCACCACGTGGAAGAGCAATGAGTGGAGCGGACACATGCCTTCTGAGTCGGCGTCACGTGCTGGGTGGATCGCTTGCCATTCCTCTTGCGACCCAGAAACTGGGTCACTAGTACCGGCAGAGGCACCGGCTTGCCGTCAGTACTAACGGAACTCACCCGGCGACTCGTTCAGCAGCTGTGGCTGTAGAGGATCTGCAACCTCAGCCATGGCGGCGAGCCGAGAATGCCGCGAATGCGAAGAATGGCGTGAACGGCGGGAATGGGCGTGAACGGTGGCAAGAATCTGGCAGTCAATCGCTGGGGAAAGGGACTGTGTGGTCGGCGGCAGGCGTCTGTCGAGATTCACGCGATCGTGGAGCGGCGCTGAGAGATTCTAGCCGCCAAGTGGTCAACGTGTCAGTTGAAGGAGCGGCGGATTTGAGCTAATCAAGGGTGACTCTGAGACGTCGGATTAGAACATAGAGGGTCCAGATTTGATGGCCACTTTTCGAGGACAGGTCACGGGAGAGGAGATTGCGTCGTGCTTTCTGCCAGAGGGATTGCTGTCAGAGAATTGGCGGGCGTGGCAAAATTCGAGGGGCTGGCGGCCCGTTTCGAGGACGAAATCCGTCTCGTCGCTGACAACGGTCCCATAGAGAAACTCAAGCCTAGATTTAGGTATAACTGCAACCAAAGCGTATGAGTAATCTGTTTTAGTTGCATTATATTATAATTCTTAGGTTTCCTAAACTCCTCTTATCCGATTAGCCACTAGCTCGCTGTCTAGATTCCCCTCGGCTCTGATACCATATTGATATTTTCTGAGTGGTTGCAGAACCTCAATAGTTATCTTAGAACCAAGTAAAGTTTAGAAACCGTAGGAGCTAGGAATTTGGGCATGACTGTTGAGTGACCCGCTGGGGTTGCCCTTGAGATCCTCGGGGAAGGGCCACAGGTGCAGAGCCTGGGGGGCTATGGGCGCACTTACCCGCTATTCAACAAGCCCTTTTAACCCAGTGGTTAGTGACTGGGTTTCTGACAATGACTTGTACATAAGAACCATGCAATCCAAATGTGTGATCCAACCAAATGGCAACCCAACCTAGAAGCGTTTGGGAGGTGACTCACTACAAGTTTTCCCAACCCAACCAAGTCTCTCTACATTGCTCTAGCGTAGTTCCATAATTCATATGTTTATTTTAGTACCTATATTTCCAACACTAGTCGAGGTTGGGCTCCCTGAGCTAATTACTTGAGCTCCTTACTGCTTATTGCAATGCTTCCATGCACCGACTACGACATGCACCTTGGGCTAGTAGTACACACACCACTGCCCACTAGCACTGCTGCTGCTGCTGCTGCCTGCTGCTGCTGCTGCTGCTGATCCTGCAGCTGCTGTCACACACACACGCCCTTGAAGCCAGTCCATCATGGCGTGAGCATGCTCGCTCGTCATCTCATGGCATGCATACGCCACATTCAACTTCTCCTCTATTGCACCTTGCAGCGCTGCCCGTCCCACTACGCTGCGCAGGTTGTGCTAGCTATACACACACCGCCCACTAGCACCGGTGCTCCTGCTGCTGGTGGTACTGCTGCTGCTGATGCTGCTGTCACCGCCGCACGCCCTTGAAGCCAGTCCATCATGGCGAGAGCATGCTCGCTCGTCATCTCATGGTACGCGTAAGCCACATTCAGCTCCTCCTCTATTGCACCTTGCAACGCCTCCATGCCCCCACTCTCACTGCTTCCTCCGTCCCCTCCTCCTCCTCCTCCCCATCGCCCCCCCCTGCCCTCTCGTCTGCCCCTCTCTCACTCCTCTGATAACTCTGATACCTCCTGCTAATTTCTTCTAGCTCATCCATAACCCTTCTTTCTGCAGTACAGCCACCCACCCGGACCTCCTGCCATCCCGAACCATCCTCCCATCCTCCCCCACTACCCCTCCCTGCTTTAAGGCTTGGAAAATCCGTTCCGAAGCTGATGGGGACAGGTTCGGTATCCGGTCCGATAGGAAGCTCGGCCCGAGCCTCTTCTCCAGGCACGAGATCTGCCCCGCTTCGGCCCCTTTCGATCGGAGGTTCTCAACCGCTCGTTCGATCGCCTCTGCGCGCTGCTCGTCTTTAGGCATGTGGACGAAAAGGGTCGGCGGGTATGGCCGCCCCGAGGGCAGCGGCAAGTCAACGCCTTTCTGACACCACTGGATATGATGATAACGAGTGCTTGGAGATCTACAGCATGTGCTAATAGCGAGATGAAGTAGCCACCGGAAGAGGCCCCTAGGGCGAAGAGGGGGAGGGTATGGCATTGCTGGCGCTGCCGCCACGTGGTGAGAGCTTGCACGACCGGAGGGATGTCGAGGGAGCGTTCTGGAGGAAAGGAGGTATCCCAACAAGGTGGAAGAGGCTGGGGAGGGAGGGGTGGGGGGGAAGGGGGGGGGGAAGGGGAGAGGAGTGGGGGCACTCTGCGCTGGCGCCAGGTGGTGAGAGCTTGGACGATGGGAGGGATGTCAAGGGAGCGTTCTGGAGGAAAGGAGGTGTCACAACAGGTGGAGAGGCTGGGGGAAGGGAGGGGGGGGGGTTGGGGGAAAGGAAGGGGAGGAAGGGGTGAGGTGGGAGGGTGAGGGATTGACGGGGATACCTGCGGTGTGGGGGCCTGAATTGATACACTAACTGCCTGATTACGACCCTGCCCTGGTTACGACCTGCCTGGTTACGACCTGCCTGGTTACGACCTGCCTGGTTACGACCTGCCTGGTTACGACCTGCCTGGTTACGACCTGCCTGGTTACGACCTGCCTGGTTACGACCTGCCTGGTTACGACCTGCCTGCGTGAAGCCCTACCTGGAGAAGCTGGAAACTGCGAATCTGCTCTCACAGACGTGCTGAAACAGGGGCCATGTCTTCACGCAGACCCACCCACGCAGGACAGGAGGGCAGTCGGGGTGTGGCGGCAGTAGCGGGCGGCTCTGTGCATGCAGCCGTGGGCGAAGAGACAACCTGCCTAAATACAACCTGCCTGAATGAAGCCTGCCGGAATACAGCCTGCTGGAAACTCGCAATGCCTACCAGGAGATGCCAAAGTTGGCAAGGCGCCTCTCACGGCCGTGCTGAACAAGGGCCATCTCCTCTGGCAGGCCCAGGCAGCCGCGGCAGTTGGCGTGTGGTGGGCAGCAGTGGATGGCTCGGTGCATGCAGCCGCGGGCAAACAATCTACCCGGCTACAACCTCCTGGCATGCAGCTCACTTGGAGGTTGCAATCCCTGCGAGTCCACGCTCAAGGGCCATGTCCTCTGGCAGACCCAGGCACGAGGGCAGTTTGGCAGTAGCACCGGCTGACGCAGCTGGAATAGCCTACCTGGAAATGGCAATGACGGCAAATCTCCTCTTGAGCGCGTGCTGCACGAGGGCCATGTCCTCAGGCAGACCCACGCACGAGGGGCAGCTGGCGTGAGGTGGCCAGAAGTGGGTGGCTCGGTGTGTGCACCCGTGGGCGAAGAAGGCCACGCCGGCCAATGGGAGATCGCCACGTGGCACCTGCCAGACCACCTCTCTCCCGTGTATGGTTTCATATACTGGCACCAGCGCTGGCGCTTCTCCCCCTCCTTCCCCTCCTCACCCCGAGCAGCAGCAGCAACTACGTGCGCTTCTGCCCCTCCTCCGAGATTTCTCCTGCACCTGTTGCGTCCCCCCCTCATCCTCCTCCTCATCATCAGCACCACTTCCTTTCCCCCAAGCATCCCTTCCTGCACCCCTTTCGTCCTCCCCTCTTTCCTCCTCCTCCTCTCTCCCTCCTCCTCTCCTCCTCTTCTACTCCTCCTCCTCATCTGTTCTCTCTTGCTCTTCCTCTTCCCTGTCTACCGCGACCTCTGCATCCTCCCTCCCCCCATCCCCCCTCCCCTCATCCTCCTCATCGTACCGCACTGCATCCCTCTTCATCGTCTTCTGAAGCGTCTCTAGGCACCTCCTCAATCTCGCCATCATCACATCACCAGCCCTCTCCTTTGCCCCCCTTTATCCCCTCCCACTCCTCCCTCCACCCCATCGTCATAGTCAAACCCTTCCCCGGATTGCCTATGCCTCTTCTTACCCCTCCCATCCCCCCCTCTCTCATCCTCACCTCTCCACCCCCCCTGTCCCCATCCTGACCCTCCCATCCCGTCCGCTCCCCGTCCTCACCCTCCGTGCTCCCCTATCCCCCATCCTCATCATCCGCCCCTCCTTGGCCCTTCCTCTCCTCCCCTCGTCGCCCTACCCCACCCCATCGTCATAATCAAACCCTCCAGAAGGCTTGCCTCCCTTGCTCTTATCTCCTACTCTCTCTCTCCTCGCCCTCTCCCTCCTCTCCTCCTCCTCTCATCCCCTCTCCTCCGCCGCCCTTCCTTGCACTTCTTCTCCCCTCACTATCTTCCAACTTCCGCTCCCCCCCCTCCGCGCTCTCCTCCTCCGCGCTCTCCTTATTTCCGCTCTCCTTCTCCGCGCTCTCGTCATCCTCATCCTCCTCTCGACCACTCTCCTCTGCTCCTTCTTCTTCGTCCCCTGCCTCAACAGCCCTTCCTCTTCCGCCTCACCTCCCTTTTTCTTCCCCCTCCGCTTCCCTCCGCTTCCCCCTCCGCTTCCGCCACCCTCTCTTCCGCTCCCCCTGCCCTCAGCAAGTCGGACCGACCCACAGATTGCCTTGAAGCATCCAACTCGCTAAAGGCAGTCTCCCCTTTCTTCTTCTTTTCCGTTCCCGTTTTCCTTCCCGTCTCCGTTTCCGTTTCCGTTTCCGTCTCCGTCTCCGTCTCCGTCTCCGTCTCCGTCTCCGATTCCGTTTTTGTCTCCTGACGTTCTCCAACGTCGTCGTCATCGACGGATGTTAGACCAGACGGCAGAGTCGGCCGCACTGACGGTTCCAGTACCGGCATCACGGGCGGAGGCGATTTCGAATCTGTGAACACCTCGGAAGAGAGCGAATCAAGCTTCGCCACGTCAGCATCTCCGAAACCACCACTCTCCTGTTTCCCGCCATCCCCGCCATCCCGCCATAACCAAGATTCTGATTAAACCGCTGCTTCGATATAGTCCCTTCGCCGAAGTCGATCGTGCGATGGTGCGACCGGCGACCGCTGCGACCGTGGCGACCGTGGTGGTGGTGTCGCCGGGCGTGTGGCGACTCCTTGGAGACGAGGATAAACGCCGCCAGGAAAAACGCCGCCAGCACGTACGTCGCGCCGCGCGCGCGCCGCACGGAGATGTTGTAGCTCGCAGACGCCACTCGGGGCTCCTAGGGATGTACATAACGGATAGTATCTAACGCCACTCGAAACTACCGGAGAAGGAAAACGGCTACTACGACATGCGCAAAAAGAACTGCTAAGCCAGTGCTACCAGGCTGCGGGAAAAGAAAGACTCTGACTCTATTAGACTCTGTAGAAGAGTGTATCTAGACGATTGTGTTCGTAGAAGCTCGGCAGATGGAAAAGAAACTACTGCCGCCGTGTCGCACTACAGGAACCCGAATCTGTACTGCACCCGTGTCAGACCACGAGACCACCAGGCGGGAAACCTGTGGGGCTGTGGCTGCGACTGGTGGCGACGATCTGGCGATTCGCGACGGCTCGCGAGTGGGGGCACCACCACGGACGACGTTCGTTCACAACGCGGGGAAGAGAGCGTTTATCGTTGCCAATGACGGAACACTTGCAGGGATAGAACACTGCATCTGTTATCAGACTAAAAAGGGTGTTGCAGTCTTAATATACTTCCTAAAGTGGTCCTAGCACACCAGTAGCAGTCTAGAACGCCCCTTCAGCATTGGCAGCCATAACATCTAAGCAATCAGAGCTCAACGCACCTCGACATACAACCATGACACTGCTCGAAGCATAAAAAGCACCCTAAACCGGCTGTTGATCAAGGCCACATGGGCTATTGATTTAACTGCTCTCTTGGTCCATCTGGTACCGGTATCTCACCACAACGCAAGCGAGCAATGGCCTGCGCCCAAGAGCCATCGGAGCAGCTTCTCAAAACCTGTAACGCAAATCCTAATAGTCTAAGCAAGAAAACACGAGCCACAGAGCTTCCGAGGAATGTGGGGTTGCCAGAAGCCACAGGGTATAACTTACGAGAAATGGAGAGAGGAGGGGGATACAGGGGTGTGGGGATGGGGAGGGAGAAAGCTGGTAGGTAGGTTAGTCAGACACATGTGTGTGCCTTGGTGGAGGAGGTAGGGAGTGGAGAGAGAGGGAGGGGACGGATAGGGCGAAGGGCAAAGTTGGAGAGAAATAATGGGGGTGGGGGGTGGGGGGGAGGTGGTGAGGTGAGAGGCCGCTTATCCAAGCGGAACAAACATGCTCGTTTCGGCGAGATCACTACCACCATTGCTACACCTGCTGCTGCTGCTGCTGCTGCTTTTGTGATCCCCCTTGCCACTGCAGCAAACAGCCTGCTGCTGCTTCTGCTGCTGCTGCTCCAGCTACAAGGCAGTCTGGAAGGCTGTGCCATGTCCACAAGTCACCAATGGCCCTCCCCATCCCAAAAAGCTTTCAAACAGGTCGAACGATCCCTTGGGTGGGATGTCTCTGCCTCCCTTCCACTCTCAGCTGCTGCTGTCCTGCTCTGCCCTATTCCGCCTGCTGGCCCCAGCTAACCCCGCCTCATTCAAAAGCCAGCAGCCATCTTCCCGCACAAGGCAAACGGCCCCTTGTCATTCAGCGTCGCCGCTAAACAGAAAATCTGCGGCATCAGCGCCTCATCTGTCGCCTTCCTTCCCAGTGCTGTTCTGTCCACTCCCCCCTCCCCTCTCCTCCTTCCCCTCCTTTCCCAGTCTCTTCTTTCCCTTGCAGGTCGAACGGTCCCTCTCCATCTGGCAGGATGTGCAGCCGCATCAGCATCTCTCCTGCCCGCCTTCCTCCCCTGTGATATACTAGACCCCTTCCCTTCAACCACTCCTTAATCCACTCCCTCCCCTCCAAACACTTCTTCATCCTCTCCTCTCCCCCAAGTCTCTCCCTTCCCTCACAGGTCAAACAGTCCCGCCCCACTCCCCTTCCCCCACCCCCCCTCCTCCCCCCCCTTCTTCCAACCAAACCTGCAGCCTTATCACATCGAACGACCTCTAGGGCAGGATGTTCGGCCTCAGTAAGGTCTCAGCAGCCGTCTTCCGGCCCTGCCCGTGGCCGTCGCCATGACCGTCGGCTGCCAGTACTACACATCCTCCTCCCCCATCCCTTCCCTTTCCCCTCCAGCCGTTTCTGCGAGCACTACTCACCCTCCTCCCCTTCCTCCCTCCTGCCCCCCCTCCCTCCAACCACTCTTGCAACCCCTCACAGATCGAACGACCCTTTTGCAGAATATTGAGCCTCATGAGTGTCTCAGCAGCCGTCTTCCGGCCCTGCCCCGTGGCCGTTGTCATGAATCGCCCCAACGCCGTCACCGCCGGCTGCGAGTACTTGGGCGCCCGGTACTTCTTGATAGCAAACACCTTCTCTAGGATATACACCGCCCACTTGGTCAGCTCCTTGGTTCTCCCCACCACCCCCGCGGCCGCTTCAATGGTATCTAGCTTGACCAGGAGGTCCGCTGCACGCTCGTGGTCCCCTTCGTCCGCCAGCAGGCTCGCCACCGAGGCTAGGCACACCTCCGCCACCCGATTCTCGCTTCGCCGAACCAGCTCCAGTAGGATCGGGACGATGTCCCCTCGACGAGGCAGAAGGTGGATTCCAGGCTGCACTTCCCCCCGTGCACCTTGCACGATCGGAGCTTGTACCCATCAAAACGGGGCTGGCTGCCGAGCCTGACCCTGAGGCTCTCGAGTTGGACCGGGAGAAGTTGAGCTTCCAGGTCATGGCCTTGCCGAGCCTGCGGTCGAGCGAGGTTTGGTCGACGAGCTTCGGCGTGGAGTGGGAGAGATTCCAACAGCACTGCGGACGGGATCCTCATTACATCCGGCCCCATTTTAAGATAATGCACTGCCAGGGGGATCACCCAAGCCTAGCCACAATCTGCTGCGCCTCCATATCGTCAGGGTCGGCAAGCTTCGACAGCCCGGACATAATCGCCTCCTGCAACCGAGCCGAACTGGCAGGGTTGGAGCTCCCCGGACCTGACGTTCCGGTACTCGACCCAGGATTCAGGTTCAGAAACTTTTGCATCAGCGTGAAAACCTGCTCCTCTATCCTCACCAGCGGCCGCATCTGCTTGTTCCCGGCCATAGTCCCCAACACATCACTATCGCCTCCCGCTCCTCCCCAGGTAGCGGCCTGGCTAGGAGCGTGGCGAGCGTTTTGACCACCTCTGGCGGTGCGGCCATCATTTCAGCCGCGTTGTGCTCCTGGCAGAGGTGCCCCAGGAGCAGCAGCGCCGAGGACCTCAGACTCCCCGCCGCAAAGTGCGACGCACTCTCCTGTAACACCTCAAAGATGGCGGTAACCGCGCCGTCATCCTCCATTACCGCCGCGCGCATGGACTTGCTCTCCTTCGCCATGCACTCCAGCGTTCGCACCGCGTAGTCCGGTTCGTCGCCGGACCCGCCCGCATCGTGATCAATCGGACGGCTGTCCCGTCCTCGTCCAGCGCGTCCAGATCCCTATCGCCAGATTCGCCAGCGTGGCCTGCGCCGCGTTCTTCACCTCAGCAGACCCCCTCGCGAGGGCTTTAACCAGCGCTGGGATCACCCCTGCTTTTGCCAGAGCCATACGGTTCATGTCGGTGTGGGAGAGGTGCTCTATGGCGCGCGCGGCGGCGGCCTTGCCCTCAGGGGGCCCGTCGTTGAGGAGGGAGACGAGGGGCGGGAGCACCCCGCACTGCACGAGGGACACCCGGTGCGCCTTGTTGACGCCCCACGTCATGACGCCGTCCGCCATCATCATGCGGGTCTCCATGTCACTCTCTGGAGGGAAGGGCGATGCAGGGAAGGGGAGGCGAGGGGGTAGCGGGAAGGGGGGTGGGGAGGGGGGCATACGCGGTTTAAATCCCTCAGGACGCCCTTGTTGGCGCCCCACGTCATGATGCCGCCCGCCATCATCGTTTGCGTCGCCATGGTGCTCTCTGGGATTCACAGGGCACGAGGGGAGTGGGAGGAACAAAGGGGTGCTGGGTTAGGGCGGGTTGAGGGTCGTCGCGCCAGTACGCGTGCAGCACGGCCTCCAGCAGCGCACACAGCCTCAGCCTCTCCCTTGCACGGTCGACTTCCAGTAAACTGGCACCTCGCCTGGCTCCAGCAGCCTATTTTCTTGGCACCTCAAAAACAGCAGCGCACACTGCCTCAGCCTTTCCCCCACTGGTTTCAGCCTAAACCTACTTCCAAGTAAACTGGCCCTTACCTGGTTTCAACAGCACAACCAGTGGCCTGAACATCCCAACTAACAGCATCCGGATGGCGACGTAGGGTTCGTCACGCCAGTACGTGCGCAGCACAACCTCCAGCAGCCCTCTCTCCGTGTCTGTCTCGCTTGCACCACCTCCCCCCCCCCCCCAAAAACACACACGCACCTGGCTCTAGGAGCACCACGAGCGGCTTGAACATGCCACGGACGCCATCTGGATGGCGACGTACGGGTCGTCGCGCCAGTACGTGTGCAGCACGGCCTCCAACAGCCCCCCGACGTCGTCCTCCAGGTGCCAGTTGAGCAGCTTGATCATCTCCACCACGCCCATCGCGTCCGTCACCGCCTGCCGCAGCGCCGGGAAGCGCGAGAGCTCTAAGACCAGCTGGATGCCTGCGGTCACGTCGGCAGTGTCGTGCGTGATGAGGTGCACCACAGGGGGGATGCCCCCTGCGTCTGCTATCGCAGTCTGGAGAAGAGCGGAGGACAGGAAGAGAGGGGATGTGGGGCGGGGGGGTGAGGTTCGGCACGAGCTGGATGCCCGCGGTGCCGTCGGCAGTGTCGTGCGTGATGAGGTGCACCACAGGGGGGATGCCTCGCGCGTCTGCTACGGCAGTCTGGAAGGGGGAAGGCAGGGCAAGAAAAGGGGGGGCTGCGTATCAGCTGAAGCAGCGCCAGGAAGCGCGAGAGCTCTAGCAACAGCTGGATGCCCGGGGAGACAGCGGGCGTGTTGTGCGTGATGCGGCGCACCACAGGGGTATTCCCCCTCGTCTGCTATAGCGGTCTGGAAAGGCGGGCAGAGGGAAGGGGGATGGGGTTGGGTATCAGCTGACGCAGCGGAGGACGCGAGACAGCTCCAGCACGAGCTGGATGGTGGGGGGCACGTCGGGCGTGTCGTGCGTGATGAGGTGCACCACAGGGGATATCCCCTGTGCGTTTGCCATCACAGTCTAGAACGGGGAAAGACAGGGGAGAGACACGGAATACAGAGCCCCCTGCGTCTGCTATCGCACTCTGGAAGGGGGAAAGGCAGGGGCGAGACGGGGAAAACAGAGAAAGTGGAGTGGGGGGTTGAGCTCCATCACGAGCTGGCCGGCGGGGGCCACGTCGGGCGTGTCGTGCGTGATCAGGTGCACCACAGGGGGGGTATCCTCCCTGCGTCCGCTATAGCTATCTTGGAGGCGAGAAGGGGGCAATGACGGACAAGGATGTATTCTGAGGCGCCCTTAGAATGAAGAGAGGGAGGGGCAATGGAGGAGATGGATGCTGGAGGCCGGCCGGGATGTGATAGGCTTTCGAGAATTTTCAATCACCTAGGGGGCAGTGGGCACTGACGGAGAAGGATGCCTTTTACAGCGCCCTTAGGAAGGAGATAGGAAGGGATGCTGGAGGCCGGACGGCTAGAGCAACGCCGGGTGCGCCTCAAGAGGTCAAGTGCTGGGTGGCCGACTGCCTTTCTTTTAAGAGTGCTCATTTTGAGTCGACTCAAAAGCAGGTCGAGTGCTGGATGCTTAACTGGATGCTCAACTGCCTTTGTTTGAGAGTGCTTATCTGGAAGCGGCCAAGCCAGCCCTTTCCCCTTTCCTGCACAAGTCATGCTAGCGCTGGTTCTTGAAGAACGGCCAGGGACAGAACAGCTAGGTTGGGAACAGGAGCCATTACTTTTCTGGAAGACGTGTGGTGGGACGGCAAGGGAAAGAGTTGTCAAGGGAACTGAAAGCGAACGAGACGGGGGGGGGGCAAGGGAGGCTTCTCAAGGGAGACAGCGGGTGGGGGGTACAACTCACGGCTTCCGCCTCTCCAAGGCTGGCGATGCTCCTCAGCACGGTAACCAATCTCTCCCTTACTGCCCCTCTCCACTCCCCCCCTTCGCCCCCCTTCCCGGCAAAACGCCAGCACGACATGGCTTCCTTTAATCCAACGAGTGCGTCTGATCTACAGCGCAATCGCCCTATTCCATTCCCAAAATAGAAAAAAAAGGGTGCCAGCGTATATCCGAGGGCATGACTCACAGCTTCCGCCTCTCTAAGGCTAGCGATGTTCCTCAGCACGGTAACCGCGGCTTCCCTCACCGCCACAAGGGATCAAGTTAAAAGGGGAGCTATAAGAGGAACTAGAACGGAACGAGAAGGGGGGGGGGGGGGGGGGGGGAAGTGGGGGGGTCACTCACGGCTTCCGCCTCTCCAAGGCTGGCGATGTTCCGCAGCACGGTAACCGCGCCCTCCCTCACCGCCCCACGCCTCTCTCCGTCACCAGCCGCACCAGCGGCACCACGGCGCCGCTTTCCGCCAGCTGCGCGGCATACTTCTTATCCTGCGACGAAAGCTGCTGCATCGCCTCCACCGCCTCCTCCTCCCTCTCCCCCCGCTCGCCGCCTTCGGCTCCTCCTTAGGCGGCGGCTCCGGCCCCTTCTTCTTCTTTTTCGCCGCCGCTTTTTTCTCCTCCTCTTTCTTCCGCTCCTCCTCCGCCTTCGCCGCTTCCTCCGCCAGGATCGCTTCCGCCGCCTCCCCGCCCGCGGCTAGCGCGGCTGCTCTCGCTTCCGCCGCTGCCGCGGCATCCGCCGCTCGTTGCTCCATATCGTCTCGCACTATCCGCGCGGCCTCGTCCAGCGTCTTTCGGTTCAGCTCGTCGTAGCTCTCCTCTATGGCCTTCCGGACCTCCACGTTGCACACCAGCTCCGCGCTCTTGAGATGCTTCCCGGTCTTCGGACACGCGCGCTTCCCCTTCGCGAAGAAATTCTCAATCGCGTTGCGGTTGTAGGTCTCTCCAGTCTCGACCAGCTTCACCGGATCCCGCATAACTTCCCCCGTCATCGCGCACTTAAAGCTATCCGGCACCGCCATGCCCTGCTCCTCGCGGAGCCGCAGCGCGAGGCGCGAAAACGTCTGCGTGATCGGCACCTCGCTGGAGATGCTCGCGAGGCTGACGAGCGTCTTCAACTCCGTGAGCTTATCCACATCCATCCACCGCTCCTCCTTCTCCGCTACGAGCAGATCCCGCTGCACCTCCTCTTTAAGCACATCCGATTGCGACGACGGCATCTCTAGGAACTTTAATACTCGCTCCACCAGCGCCGTCGCGACTTTCTTGCTGTTTTTCGTCACGCCGTCTTCCAGGGCCAGCGACAGCTCCGCGACTTCCGGCTCGGAGTCGAACGTCGCGACCCGCATCCGGCCGCGGAGGTCCGTCAGCCGGTTGGCAACGTCTGTCGGGAGCGACGACATGATGCTGAGCACCGGCATGAGGTTCAGATCGTGGCCCACCTCCTGCACCATCCGCTGCAAGTCGCCGACTAATTTGTCCGTGTCGAAGATTAAGAACAGCCGGCTGCACTCCGTGTGGTCCTTGGTGAGCTTCTTAAGATCGTCCAGAGCCGTTTTCAGCCGCTTCATTCCGTTTAGGGATTCTGCCGACGACTTGGTCAGGTCGCGCTTCGTGTTGAGCTGCGAAAGGACTTCGCGAAGCTCGCCTAGGTAGAACGCCATGGTTAAGAAGCTGGCTGTGTCGACCGGAACCTTCGGCGCGAGCCGCCTGGTCTCCTCGATGGTCTTGACCATCGAGTCAACCATGGACGCCAAACTAGGGTTTGAGGAACTCATGGTGGCCTTTCTGGCGGCGTTAATTCTAACGAGGCGTTAACCCTAACGAGGCGTTAATTCTGACAGAGATGATCTCGACAGGTACCGCTGGGATGTCAGACACGTTAATGCTCGAATAAAATACGAAGCGAAATAAATGACTTTTCTGGTTACGCTAACGCTGACGACGACGACGACGGGTATACTATGTCTGGTCTATCGGACACGGTTTAGGGGAATAGAACGGGTAAGGACGAGGCGCCATGAGGACAATGCAGGATGATACGGTTAGAACAATGTGCTACTGTAAAAAATGGTGAGGAAAGAGCGAACAATGACCAGCGATGTCCCTTAGATCCTTAGATCGACAAAACCCTGGAAGTAAAGCAAGATACCACGTGGCAGTAATGTACCGTCGGCTGGTCTGCTGCCTCTGCTAGCTACAGCAGTACGAGGCTACAAATAGTTACGGAGCCGTCCAACGGCAGATAAAGCGGAGATGGATAGGCTGCAGCAGAGCGTGATGATATGACAAATAAATTGATGGTTCAACGACCAAGTAGGTTCAGATAAAGCAACGGGGATAAGGAAAAGGGGGGGTGGTGGAGAGTGGAAAACGGGGAACGACGGATGGGAGAGGAGGAGAGCCCCAAGGACAAGGAAAAGCAGCCTAGGGAATATACTGGACGGAACGGGAGAGGAGAGTGGCTGGCGGAAACACTGTACTCTCCAGGGGTGCGGTCGGAGATTCGGGGCAGACGGGCGCTAGAAGCGCCTATGAGCTGGCCCGGCATTTCCTCCCCTGTGGCTTTCGTGCTTCTGGGGGCGGGAGGGGGGAGATGGGGGAGTCAGGGGAGCGGCAAGCGAAGGATGCGTGGAGACCCCAAGGTCCTGTACTGTGCTGTCGTGTTGAGCA